CTAATCTAATATATTCCTCTTCTTTCTTTTTTTTTCTTCATCAAACTTGTGTGTGCTGGTCAGTTAAGAGAGAGCTTAAGGATTTTCTAGAAGCTTCGAACCCTTGTTCAGACTTCTGTCCTCTGCCATCATCTCTGTCATTCTACTGGTCACCGGTGACTCTATGAATGTCAAAATCTTTACTGTGGAAAAGCATAAATGGACTGGTATTGCTCTCCTCTATTTTACATTAATCTCCCTTATCTTATTGTATGTGAAATCGTGTAAGTAACTTGGGCTTCATTGCCACTTTTCAATCTGTAGCTTGTGGCTGTGAGCTCACTGGTGTGCTTATCGTTGTTATTATCTCATTCATCCTTGATCAACTGAAATGTGACCTCTTCCTCCTCCTCTATTCTAGATTAGTCCCTTTCTTCTTCACCATTGGCATGGCTGTGCAGGTGAATAGGAGAACTTACTCCTTTTGTTTTGCTTGCTTTGTGAATCATCGGTTTGCTCATCTCTTCTCTATGCCCAACAGCGATCTTCCTCTCCTTGTTAGCATGTTGTTGGTCTATCCAAGGTCAGAATCTTTGATCTCTTCTCCTTAGAAAATTCTATGCGTGTGAGATGGTGAAAGGATGGAGTTGATGTTGCAAATTTACTTTCTTCTTGAGCCCTGCTACTGTTCATAACCTTATATGAATATATAGGAAGAGGAAGCTTGATTTTTCAATCAAAATTGGTGGTTATATAAGGAGGGAGCTGATAGTATAGAATTGAGTTTGTAATTGAAAATGATTGAATTAGTGATATTGTAAGGTTTTAAAGAAGGTGAAATTTTGGAAGAAAATATTAATATTAGCTTAATTATAACTTATGCTCATATAGTATTTAATAAAATGCCTATGAAGAGAGTTGGCTTGGATTTGCATTTTTGAAATTTAATTAGTCTTTGTGAGAAGTATGCTAGTATGAAAGATTATGGATCTACAAATTAACTTATAGATTGCAAAAGAATTTAAACATGAATTTGTATGAAACCATTTAAATAATTGGGAATTGTAAGGTTACTAGTAAATTGTTGAATGTTTTAAATTGAATTGATAGGACTAATGCACCTAAGGCATTTGATGCAAAGCTTAGAGAAAATTATGTCTCAAAGAAATAGATTGGCATGGTTAAAACAAGTTGGAGGAGACTAGTAATATGAATAATAAACTTTGACAAACTTTAAGGCATGAATTTTTGTTTTGGAAATTTAAATGATGGTGGCTGGTTGAGATTGTGTAATAAATTAAAAATTTATTAAAAGTATATTTATTTACATCTTTATAAGGTGTGTGAAAGAACATGACCCTAAAAAGAATTAAGGGAAGAATATCTTTGGAAATTTGAAATTCTGAAGAGTAAGTGAATAGTATTTCTCTTAACTTATTTTTAATAGACTTTTTCTAAAATATTTTACTCTTATCAATTAAATTAGTTTTGAAAATTATGGAATATTTATGGTGAATAATTTGATGTTGATATGTGCACTTATTTTTCCTCAAGAAATATATTTCTATTATTAATGAAGGCATCTTTGTTTATTGAATTTTGAAATTTCTTGATTACACAATTAATTCAAGTTTGTACATTCACTTTGATGTATTAATTTGGAAAGTTTTATATATTTAAAATAATTCATGTGAGTTTGACATTGACAATGAAAATTTTATTTCAAAAATAATTATTTCTCTCACATGTTTGAAACGAGATTATAAGAGGATTCTATATAGAAGAATGCTGCTAACGACAGTTACATTAGCCTGTGGCGCACTGTGGTTAATAACTAGCTAGTTTGTTTTATGGGCTTTGTCTTCACATTTGTTATTCGTGGGCTTCATACTCGCGTTTAGTTTTCGTGATTTTAAGCCACGTTTGGTTATTTTATCCTTGTAGGCTGTGTGTCCACATTTGTTTCGTAGCTCAAGTTGCGTTTGGTTATTCATCCTCATGGACTGTGTGTCCACATTTGTTTTCATGGCATAAGCTGCATTTGGTTATTTTACTCTCATAGGCTATGTGTCTACATTTGTTACCTGTTATGTTAAGTCCTCACAATCCTAAATTTGGACAAATTTATGCATTTGAAATTTTAATGGTTTCAATTGTTAGTATGTTATTTTGATCCATGTATGTATAAATTATTTTTTTTCCTTCTACCATGAAGATATAAAGTGTTTTTAGCATTTTCAATTTAATCTCATTTTGATGGTTATACTTAAAAATTTATAAAGTTATTGAGTACATTATATTAAATTTTCATCCTTCCAACTAATTTACAAAATTGATTGAAGTTATTATTTTAAATTCTATCTTTGGGGATGTTATTCACTGAAAAATTTATTTTAATTTCAGATTCGTTATTTGATGCTGATCCCACTGTTGACCTCCAAAGGGGAATACAACTATATTGGGTGAAAATTTTGTTTGGTATTATTATTTTTTATGTAAATATTTAAATCTTATATATTTTAATTTAGAAGAAAAATTAGTTGCTCCACATAGATTATTGTTAGAATTTTATTTTGATTCATATATTATACTGGCTGAAAGGAGCTGAGCTCCTGATTTAGTTGATGTTTTGACTGACTCAGTGTATTTTAAAAAATTTTAAGAGATTGTATTTATAGGTGATGTTTTATCAAAATTTTTATAAAAATGTTAAAGCCTTATTATGCAATTAATATCAAAAGTGTTATAATTTTTATATAATTTAATTATTTTTTTAAAAAAATAAAATAAATTTTCATTTTGAGACTTGAGAAATTTCGTAAAGTGATTCGTTTCTGTGCCAATCCGGCGAAGTGAGGGTAAACGAACCCAGCAAGATATTCGAGAATGTCAGAGAGATAAATAGGATCCTCGGCACTGACATGCTCGGCGTACTTGCTAGCCTTGAGGAAGCGATCGATCCTTCTGAGTTCTGACAGGAACTAAACACCAGCCTTCTGGGACTTTGATACTGACTCAGAGGCCTGAGCATGCCCATGCCACCCTTAGTCGTGCCACCAACCAAGCTCATGTCTCACTCCGATTTAACTTTAACCCTAGATTTTGCAGAGGAAGTGTCTGGCTTCACCTTGCAATGTTTATGTATTGAAAACTGAAACACCTCTTTTCATTTGTCAACATGCAGCATAATGGAGAAAAAGCGTAGATATTAATGCTCTTGTGATAAGTCGCTGCGTAAAATTTGAAATTGAAATTAACGCTGTCATGGAGAGTGATTAAAAAAAAAAAACTGTTGATTAAATGCTCCCGTGGATTTCAATTTTTCAATTCAAAAATTCAAAAAAAAAAATTGGCAGTATAAAAATAATTAAAAAAATAATAAAAGATGTATACTTAAAAAGTTAATTGAACCAATTGAAGAGAATAATTAATATTATACCAATGTATATTGATGTTGATCAATAGGAGAGAAGAGATTTGTAATCAATCACCTTAAGTTTTTTATTGGTTGATTGTCAATTGTCCTTGTCAATTTATATAAATGACATAATTTACAGTCTTATCAATTTTAAAGTTATGGAAAAAACTGAACATTTTAATCGTTTTCATGAGCATGGACCACAGACAACATGTTTCATTAAATATTTAGCCGCCAATATCGCAGGTGTAAATAACACGTTATTTAATGTAATACCTCAACTAACTATATTACTTTCTTCAACTAACTATATTACTTTCTTTCGTTTCTTTCTTTTTGGCCAATCATTAATATTTATTTAAAATGAAAAAATGTTGCCTTCAAGTCTTAATACTTCGGGGAAATTCTAACAAAACAATAAATTAAAACAAAGCAAAACTAACACCCAGAAACTCGTAGTAAGTTAATAATCTCATCTCCCTTGAAAATTCACAATTGTAGAGATTGAGACAAGAGATTCTTTGAAAATGTAGTAATTATTTACAAGTATGATTTTTTTACATTATATAGATTTAATTTTTTAAAATTATATTAATTCAATTATTTATAAGTAAGGATTTTTTAAAATTATATTGATTTAATTGAATTTAATACTACCTTTTATTTTCTGTGTGGAATTGAAAACAGCACAATCTTATAACAGGGTTGTAACTTTCAATTACTTTCCACTCTAATTTAATTTTTCTGGTCCTTTATAATAAATCTTAACAGTATTATATCACTCATCTTAATTTTCTCTAAACCCTTTTCCCAGATTTAAACTTTATCCCATCACTAAATTAAAAAAAAAATTAAATTAAAGAGTCCTTAGTTTTATTAACGAAGAATTCTTATGAAATTTTTCTAGGCTTATCATATATTTAAAATTTTGACTACATATATATAAACAACTCATTGACATATCATATTTTATTAGTAAAATAACGTATTAAATATCTGTACAACTTTAAAGTTATTAATTGTTAACTTTCAAATTTTAAATGTAATAACCCTAAATTTTAAATTAAATAAATTTTTTTCAAATGAATATTTATTATTATTTATTATCATTTTATGATAAATGAAGAGTAGTGGCTTAGTGAAATTTATATTGATTATACATATAGAGGTCCAAGGTTCGAACCTTACTTTAGCTAGATGTTACTTTTATTTTTATTTATATAGAAAAGTACTAAAGTGCCCTTTCTTCTTATTATAGAAATATTATAAAAAATAAAAAATAAAATAAAAATCTGGTAGGGTCTTTTTTTGAAAATTTCCCAACAAGCCTTGGGTTATATTTTGTAATTTTTCAAAGAGCTTATTATTTCATTTTTTGCCTCTCCTAGTCGGTGTGTGCAGAAGAGAGAGAGGGCTAACGTTCTTATCTTTATGTTTTCCTTTTCTTTTTCCAATCTGGAACCAGACAAGACTAGTCTGGAACTCTCCCATCTTCTCCTTCTTCCCCCACTTGTAATAAAGGAAAGGGAACATTTCGACAAGAATCGAGATAACAAAGAGAAAAGAGAATATGGAAAAATGAATTTCACTTCTTACTTTGTGTTTACACTTTACTATATATACACGTGTGGGTCAGACTATTTACTCTATAACAAATAAATAACAGAATAACTAATCTAACAAAATGCAACAAAATGTTATCCTATATCTATATTATAGTCTGTCACCCCCTACAAGCTAGAGCATGTATGTCAATCATGCTCAACTTGGACACAAGAAACTTAAAGGGAGCAGGGGTAAAGAGGTTTGGTAAATAGGTCGGCTAATTGATCCTGAGAACGTAGCGGAAGAATATGAATGACACCCTCTTAGACTTTGTCTCACACCAAATGGCAATCCAATTCAATGTGCTTTGTCCGCTGGTGAAATGTAGGGTTGGAAGCAATCTGAATTGTAGACTGACTGTCATAGTATATCAAAGCAGCTTTAGAATGAGGAATTTTAAGGTCATCAAGCAAATAGAGAAGCCACTGTATCTCACATGTAGTCATGGCTAATGCCCGGTATTCAGCTTCAGAAGATGATCTCGAGACAGTACTTTGTTTTTTAGATTTCCAAGAGATGAGAGAATTATCAATAAAAACACAATCGCCGGAGAATAAATCTCCTAGAATCCACACATGTAGCCCAATCATTGTCACTGAGTCCTTTTAATTGCACATCAGACTTAGAAGGGAAGAACAGCCCCTAAGCTGGTGCAGATTTAATGTATCGAAGAACTCGATGTGCTGCTTGAAGGTGTAGATTAGTAGGGTTAGCCATAAATTGACTAAGTTGTTGAGCAGTAAATGATATATTCAGCCTGGTAGTGGTAAGATATAATAATCTGCCAACAAGTTGACAATAAGCAGTTCTATCTAATAAAGGAGTACCTGTATCTAAACTCAGCTTAGCATTCCTATCCATTAGGGTGGAGGTAGGTTTGCAATCAGTGTACCCTGCTTCAGTTAAGAGATAAATAGCGAAATTGCGTTGGTAAATAGAAATACCAGCTTGCCTTCTAGCTGCCTCAAGGCCGAGAAAGTACTTGATAGGACCAAGATTCTTGATCTTAAAACTAACATCCAAGTTATGTTTTATTGTCTCAATTTCAGACAAATCATTACCAGTAAGAAGAATATCATCAACATACACTAGAAGAGCTGTAAAACTGGTACCATAGACTTTAATATAGAAAGAATAGTCAACCTTAGACTCAGTATACCTATATGAAATAAGGGCAGTTGAAAGTTTTTCAAATCACTTCCTCGGGCTTGTTTTAATCCATAAAGAGATTTTTGCAATTTACAGACAAGAGTTGAATCAGAAGACTAAAAAGCAGGAGGCAAAACCATGTATACCTCTTCATCAAGGTTACCATGAAGGAAAGCATTATTGACTGTCAAGTTGTTGAAGATGCCAGTTATTAGCAGATGCTAAAGCTAAAAGTAATCTAACAGTAGTCACTTTAGCAATTAGGGAAAAAGTGTCAACGTAATCAATGCCCTCTGTTTGAGTAAAGCCTTTGACAACCAGCCGGGCTTTATATCGATCAAGAGTACCATCAGACTTATATTTCTTAGTGAAAACCCATTTACATCCAATGGGATGTTTCCCATTAGGAAAATGAGTAAGGATCCAAGTTTGAGTTTATTCCAGAGCCTTTATTTCAGCATCCAATGCATGTCTCTAAGGTTTATATTTAGAAGCTTGACAGTAAGTTTTGGGAATATCATCAGAAGAAATCATTGAACAAAATTTTTTTTGAAAAGGAGAAAGAGAATGACAGGAAAGAACAGAAGAAAGCGGATATTTGTTACCTGAAGAGAATGATGCAGCTGAAGTAGTAAAGGATGAACAATAGTAATCCTGCAAATAAGTAGGAGTTTTATGTGGCCTGGAGGAAGTTCGTGTGGGTGCAGTTAAAGTAGAAGAAGAATCAGAGGTAGTAGGGAAGGAATTGGAAGGAAAAGATGAGGAGTTAGGATCAATTATATGAGTGGAAGTGGCAGCTAAATTGGGAATAATCAGGTAATTAAGAGATGGTACATCAGCAGGAAGAGGAATGGTTGAATCTTGTGATGTAATATCAACATAAGGGAAAATATGCTCATAACAAATGACATCCTGAGAAATGAAAATTTTATTAGAAGAAATATTAAAAGTATATGCCCTTTAGTAGCTTTAGGAAATCCAATAAAAATACATTTAGAATCTCTAGAATCAAATTTAGTTCGATTAGTAGGTAAAGTAGAAGCATAGCATAATGAACCAAAGACTCTTAAATCTGAATATGAAGGATTTGTAGCAAACAGTAAACTGAAAGGAGAAGTATGATTAATGATAGAAGAAGGAGTATTAATGATGAAAACAGCATGAGCAATAGCGAAACACCAATATAATTTTGGAAGGTTAGCTTGAAATAAAAGAGCTCGGGCAACATTAATATATGTTGATGTTTCCTTTCAACTGTGCCGTTTTGTTGAGGTGTTTCAATACAGGAAGTTTGATGAATAATACCTTTGGACTGATAAAAAGATTCCATAGACAACTCAAGGCCATTATCAGATCTTATAGTTTGAACTTTGGTATCATATTGAGTTTCAACATAGATAATAAAATTTTGGAAGATGAACCCGAACCTCAGATTTAGAATTCATAAGAAAAGTCCATGTATATTGACTATAACCATCAACTAGTGTCAAAAAATATCTAAAACCTTGAATAGAAGGCACACTAAAAGGACCCCAAATATCAGTGTGGGTTAAAGAAAAACTTTTTATTACTGACAGAAGTACTTACAGGAAAGCTCAAATGTTTTTGTTTTGCCATATGGCATACATCACATGGATCAAACTTTGCATTACATTGTATGAAAGGAAATTGCTGATGTAAAATTTTTAAAGTAGAAGAACAAGTATGACCTATTCAGTGACGCCACAAATCAAGTGAAGTGGATTGAGTTGAGGAAGTGGTAGGATGTTGTTGAGCTGCGGAGATTGAAACAGCCATAGTCTGATTTATTTTTTCAGGATTAAGAAAATATAATCCTTTAAATACTTTAGCTATACCAATCGTCTTCCACGGAAAGAGAGCCTGAATGTAACAAATAGAAGATAAGAAAATGAAACAAGACTAGAATGAATCAGTAAGCCTTGAAACAGAGAGAATATTAAAGGCAAAATTAGGAATGTAGAAAACATTGTGAAGGATCAAAGACTCAAAAAGACGTATGGTCCTTGAAACATTAGCAATGATACAGCTTTGATTAGGAAGTTTGATAGGGATAGGAGAAATATGTTTATATTCGGAAAAGAAATCAAGTATATGGCAAACACGATCGGTAGCCCCTGTATCAATGATCCAAGAGGTATAATGAGAACTTTTACCTTGATTTTGAGTCGAAGAAGAAATAGAATGGAGATTGTGAACAGATGGTATGGAATTCGAATGATTTACAATAGGAGAAGAAGAATTGGATTGAACAAGTTCAAGAAGTTTCTGGTATTGCTCTGGTATGAATTGAGGAGAAGGATGTGAGATTATGCCAAGAGAATTAGTCTACGGCTCTGTCATAGATAAAGATAAAGGATCTTGAGATTGAAAATTATAAGTCGATGTAGAAGATTGATTTTGAAATTTAAAACCCGGTGGAAACCCATGCTTTCGGTAATAGGTGTCCACTGTATGACGAGCACAATTGCAATATGTACAAAACTTAGTATTAGTAGATCCATTAGCACCAAAATTCTTTGATCCAGATCCAGAAATACGAGGTGGTCCTTTGTTGAACAAAATAGTTGATTCAACACCTATGTGTATCTCTCGTTCTTGTTGCAAAATCATGGAAAACGCTCTGTTAATAGAGGGTATAGGATCAAGTAACATGATTTGAGACTTCATTGATGCAAATCGATCATTAAGGCCTTTCAAGAATCCAAGGTAATAGTCTTGCTCTCGATATACAACACAAGAGCATGTAAAGTTACAAGAACACCTCGTGATTGGATGAAGAATTTTGTATTCGTCCCAAAAAATCTTCAGTTTAGTGAAATATTCACTAACTGAAAGGTCACCCTGCTTGAAGGAGAAGATCTCATCCTACAACTCAACAACTCAAAAAAACATCACTTTGTGCGAACCGATCTTTCAGATTTGACTAGATCTTATATGCTTTTTCTAACCACAAGGTGCTTTGCGCTATCGTTGGAGTAAGAAAGCGTGTAATCCAGGTGCAAACCATCGTGTTACAATGCAACCAAGCAGGATAGAGGATCTAAAATTAAAGGCACAAGAATCGAGCCATCAACGAACTGGAGCTTGTTCTTGGACTGAGAGCCATCCATATAGCTCTTGACCCGGTATGATAATTCAAACCATTTAGGGCTGGAGTGACCAGAACCAGAGCAGGGTTCTCATTAGGGTGTAGATAATATGGGCTAGCAAGATTTTGTGTAGGGTCGAGAGAGCTACGGGAGCCGATGCCGATGTTAATAGACAAATCGATCATGGCGATGATACCGCTTTGATACCATGTAACGAAGGGAAGGGAAAATTTTGAGAAGAATCGAGATAACAAAGAGAAAGAGAATACGAAAAAATGAATTTCACTTCTTACTTTGTTTGTGTTTACACTTTACTATATATACATGTGTGGGTTAGACTATTTACACTATAACAAATAAATAACAGAATAACTAATCTAACAAAATATAACAAAATGTTATCCCATATCTATATTACAGTCTGTCACCACTATCTCCAGCTGCCGTCGGTGTGTGTGTGTGAGCGGTTTCCAACCACTGCTGTAAGGCTTCAAATCACAATTCTCCTCCTCCTCTTTCTTCAATCTTGTTCTGAGTTGCAAAGAGGGCCAGAGATCGAAAGTTTTCTACGTCTTCTCTAACCTTATTCATAGTTTAGACCACCGCCGACAAGTACTTAGGTGTGTTTTGCCGTTGCTCAGTCTTTAATCATCTGAACCAAGACCTAATTATTCTTCCGTCTTGCGTTCATGTGCACTAGATTGTGTGTGTGAGTGAGCTCAGAGTTAAGGCTACTTCCTCAATATTGATTTATCCCTTTCCTTGGTCCAGCCTTATTTGGTCTGCTGGTGAGTGAACCTCACCTCTCTTCCCTCTATCATTTAGCCTCTATTTGTGTGATTGTGCTGGCTTGTTGAAATCTGGAATTGTCTTTCTTTTAATTAAAATACTGATCGTGTATGATGGAGGAGGAATAGTATTGTTTCCTAAATTGGATTGATTGTTATCCGGAAATGAAATTTGGCAAAACGAAATATGAAGAAAAGAAAATGATAATGTTGTGGGTTGGAACTTTAATTGAAACTGATTGGATTATTGATTATAATATTGATATTATAAAATTTTAGAGAAGTGAAAAAAAAAAGGTTAATACTAGCTTAATGATTAATGTTCATAAGGTATTCGATAAAATGCCTATTAGAAGTGTTTTGCTTGATTTTGTTTGCACTTTTTTGAAATTTCATTGGTTTCTATGAGAAGTACGTTAGTGTATGTGTTATTGATCTATGAATTAACTTGAAGGTTGCAAAGAAAATTTAATTGTGAAATTAGTTGTTGATAGATTATCTGATAAGAGGTTTTAATGTTACAAGTTCTTTTGAGCGGATTGAAAAATTAGTTATATCCATGTAAAAACTTTTGTGTAAATCTTGGTTACAAAGTTTTAAATTTATTGTCATTATATATATATAGAGAGAGAGAGAGAGGATGTATTAATGTTGGAAGAGTTTTTAAGCATTGTTAGAAGTTTATTAAGACCTTGATATATTCTATAGGAAGTCTAGAAGGAGGAGAAATTGATTAATGTGGTAAGAGGAGAACATTTTACATTGAAAAAACTTTAGGTAAGTGGATAGTGTCCCAACTACTTCACCTATAAAACTATTTCATTTTTTTTTGAAATATTATAATTTTTATGTAAATCATTTTTATAATAATTATGTTAAGTATTGAATATTTAATCATTTAGATTTCTTTATCTCATGGAATTATAAAGCAATGGTGGAGAACAATTAAATTATGGTATGCATGCATATATTCTTCTTGTGAAGTATACTTTCAAGAATTATGAAATTATTTTATCACCTATGGAAATTGTGATTTCTCAATAAATGCAAGAATGAACATTAACTATGCAACTTTATTTTGAAAAGTTTTGATACTTAAAATATGATCCATGCAAGTTTGATTTTGGTAATGGGAACTATATTTTAGTGGTGATGATTTTCTCACATGTTTGAAAATAATTTTGGAGGGAATTTTATATAGAACATTGGCTGCCAACGACAGTTCCGTTAGCCTTTGGCATGCCATAATCAATGACTAGCTAGTTTAATTTTTGTGAGTTTTGTTCTTCCATTTATTATTCATGAATTTAGTACCTACATTTGTTTTCGTGGTTTCAAGTCGTGTTTGGTTATTTACCCTTGTAGATAGTGTGTCGACGTTTGTTTCGTAGCTCAAATTGCATTTGGTTACTTACTCTTGTTGACTGTGTGTCTACGTTTGTCTTTGTAGCATAAATCACATTTTGTTATTTATCTTCATGGATTGTGTGTCCACGTTTATCAATTATTCTAATAAATCTCCTAAAAATATGTGAATTTTTAATTAATTGGTGATTTCATACTAATGGCTTTTAATTTAGCAAATACTATTGTTTTATTTATTTATTTAATCATTTTAACTTATCAAAATCAAATATTAAAGTTGCTTTGTCATTATAGATTTAAAATGTTCTTATCATTGAAGTTATGTAAAACTTTTATTCCAAGTTTATAAATTTGTTTATAGTGAATTGCTTTCTCATTTGATTTATATAACTATTGTATTTTATTCATTTTTATTTTACAAAATGTTATGGTTGGGACGTTATTTATTAAAAAGTTATTTTGGTTTCAAACTCATTAAGTGATGCTAAATATTGTGCTAATCATCAATGGGTTTATTATTGATTGGAAGTAGAGGAGTTGTGGATCTAAACTTTCTCTTGATATAAAGTTTTAATTATAAAATTTTCTTTTGTAAACATATTTTAAGTGCTCTACATAGCCTGTAGTTAGATTATTTATATGATTATATATTTTGTTTGTTGGCTAGAAGGAGTTTTGTTTCTGATTAATTTGATATTTTGATTGAAGCTTTTATTAATACAAAAAATGGTCACACATGTTATAAATTAATATAACATAATTATGTTTTAGTAATTGAAAGGTTTATTAATTTAAAGCTTGAGGCATGTGTGATGTATCTTACATCCCATGCTAGTCATTCTATATTTTTGAGGTGTGACATTAAAAGTAAGTGTGTGTGTGTGTGTATTAAAATCAAGAGAGTAGAGTAAAATATTATAAAACATAGTTCGAATAATTTAAATCAAAAAATAAATTTTTGTTGTGTATATTTTCCTTTTCACCCATCCAAGGACAATTTTTTTTTTGGTTACAAATTTGAATTAGGATAAATTGGTGCATTGGCAAAAAAAAAAAGTTATGCCTAAAAATATGATCAACTTTTTGAACATTTAGGAGTATAATAGGTTCACATTGATATATAAAGGATTTATCATTAATATACAAATGGTTTATCATTGAAAGTTTAAAAATTTATGAGGGGTTCATTATTGATATATAATGGTACATATTAATAGCAAATATAATAAACCAACAATAATGTAAATAAATATTTGGCTGTTTACTTAGTTTGATTCTATAACATTGATTATATTTGCAAAAGCCCTTTTAGATTACTCCCTTATGGCCTATTTATAGGGTAAAGAGGATTTTTTTGTTTATATATATAAATCTTCTCATTAAATTTTCATCACAAATTCTTTCATTTGCCTTCCATTGAATGTTGGAGAAAGAAAATATGTTGTTGAAGTATGCATGTTTAATAGGAATAAAGTTAAAAAATTACTAAATTTTTAGATGAAGTTGATAAGTTTTCAAATTTTTCTTGATTTTTGATGAAACATGTTAAAAGTGACTTATAAATAGAATTAAAAAATAATTGATTAATTAAGATACACACACCACCATTTAGGTCTTGTTCACTTGTCGCCATAAATGTGATACTTTAATTTTATTTGGCCCTAATTAGCGGCTCAATTAAATCCCTAAAATGAAGAAGCATGATAATAAAGTTGATTATTTTATTTTATTTAAGTAATTTTTTTTTTGAGCTATAATAAATTGCACTTTACTTGACCATGAATTGTGCGTTCATAAATTTTGTTCGGTTCAAGTAAATTGTTTGTTCTGTTCAAAATTAATTTGGTGAATAAAAGATATTGCCATATAAAAGCTTAGTAAACGGATGTTGTGAAAAATATTGCCATGACTGTGTTCAAGTAAAAAAACTACTATAAAAGTTGGGAAAGACAGTTTGAACCGACAAGAGCACATTTCAAGTCAAAAAACAAAAAAAAAAAAAAAACGACAAGAGCATATCTAGTTATAGATATATTCCAACCTGGTATTTAATTATAGATTGAGATCTCCCTCCCCAGTTGCTTCCATTAGAATATCTTCCAAAAGCACTTTCTTTTTTTGCGTAAAAATCTAGTATTCCAGGATTTTGATTTAAACTAATTCTGGAATACTAGAGATTTGTATTAAAGTGCAAAAGATTATTGCAAAGTAATAATAGAAAAATTATTGGATCAAAAGTTTAATTGAGCCTAGAATATAGAATTGGGCCTAGAAATGATGATCCAAAAATTACATAATAATCTTAAATGAAAATACATATAATAATTAATAAAGGTAGGTCTAGTTGATTGGAAAAACATATTGATGAACTCTATAAAACTATCTCACTTGAACCTTTATTTACCAAATATATATATATATATATATATATATAATCTTTCTTCAGCAAATCACAAGTGACATCTATATGTTTAAATAAAATTTTAAAATTCGCACCTTCCTTTTAATTAACAATGAATCCCACACATTTAAATAGATTCGCCGCCAATGAATCTGATATAATTATTGGACGAACCTTGTTTACTGTTTAGACGCAAATATATGTGAACCACACAGTCCTATCACAATACGCATGTTCAAGTCATTATCCAGAAAGCCACTTCAATGCTAACTAATTAATTTGGTGAAATGTTTTTGCGTGCTCAATATTATGTGCATACCTCTATAAATATATACAGGCCAAGGCACTAACATTATTCCAAAACCACAAGTTCAATCCCAAAAAGAACATGTCCACTGTTGTAACAACAATCTCCAGATTTTCTCTTCAACTATTCAGTATGCTCTTCAACTACCTCAAATGGGTTCTAGAGTTCCTTCTCTGCCACCCATTTTACAGCCTGCGTGTTCATCATCAT